GTGTGTGTGTGTGTGTGTGTGTGTGTGTGTGTGTGTGTGTGTGTGTGTGTGTGTGTGATATTTGCTTCTAAGCTGAATCTAGCCCAGCCCGCTCTTTCAGCCCCTCCATAATGATGATGCCAGAGGATAGTTCTAGTCATAACCACAGACCTCAAGACTAAGTAGACTAAGCAGCTCTTTATTTTTAATTATTTATTTACTTTTTGATAGAGAGAGAGAGAGCATGAGAACTGGGGCAGGGGGTGGGGGCAGGAAAGGACAGAGGCAGAGGGGGAGAGAGAATCTTCAGTAGGCCCATGCCCAGCATCCAGCATGGAGCTGTTGCAGGGCTTGACCTCACAACCCTGAGATCAGGACCAGAGCGGGAGTCTGATGCATAACCAACTAGGCCACCCAGGCGCCCCTAAGCAACTCTTTAAAAGCTCGTTACTTTTTCCTTTGTCCTTTCCTGTAGAAATACTGCTTTTCACCTTCCGATTGTTTCCTTTTGAGCCATCCTGTAGGTCTTTTGTGCTTTGGGTTTTGCCTGTTACTTTCATTCCCCCCTTTTGGTTCACCCCCATATTCATTTCCCACCTCTCCATCCTTACTTTAAGGACAATTTCTCTGCCCCTCATAGTTGGCTTTCAAATCTTCCAAGTTTCATAAATTGGGAAAAAGAAGAGTTACCAGTACATATTTTTAGTTTATGAAAGAAAACATCAGTAGTCCCTTAAGGAGAAGAAAACTAGATGATAGAAAGATTGTACTTTCCAAGCAAACACACAGTAACATCCATAAAGTATCTTAATAATTTTACAAATAATTAAAATTGCTGTGGATTAGTAAGCTGAAACAGTTTGAAAATGTTTATCCATATTTACTAGGAAAATACTACCCACAATAGAATATTTTCCAATGAAATTGGGAGTTGAAAATTCTTTTAATTCTAGCCTGGCGATATAGCAAGCTCAAAAACAAACCACAAATATACCTCTAAATAGAGGTAATGCTGTCTTATTTTACAAATGATGTTGATTATGGGGGGAGAGAGGAATTTTTTCCAACAAGTTACAGAAAGTTCAAAATTTCAAAATATCAGTGCAGGTATTTAACCGGACACTGGTAACATCAAAATCTAATCAAAATGGAATAGCAGCAAAAGCCATTTCCTTCCCACCTATTTTTGCATAACATCCTGATTTACCAGCTGCAAAGCCTTTTCACATGCTTGAGATAGCTGTTCTAATTTACATTACAGGCCTGTCCCAGATTAGTCATCCTGTTGATAAGCTGTGGGCTCAAATATATGTAATCTTTTACAAAAATAATCATTAAGTATTTCTTGTAACATCTGAATAAAAGCTGCTTTCTGCTTTGCCAACCTTGTGCTAGCCAGAATATTTCTCTGTAATAGTCCAAGGGAAAGAGCATCCACCGTTGTGCAAATCCAAGAGTCTAGGGAGGGATAAGAATCCATCCAACATGTGCCTCCATCTTGAAGAATGAATTAACTAGTTAGTGGTAAATAAGAAGATAGCCTGTTTGTAAAGATCTCCAGAGGTGGTTATTTTATAACTTCAGTGACTTTGGTGACTTAAAATTCAAATGAGTGAATTTAAAGATCTTAGTGGCTCTATTCAACATTCCATGATTCAGGCAGCATTCAATCTAGCAGATAGAAAGGAGCTTGAATGAGCTGTACAAAATGAAAGACTTTTATAGGCAGAAGGGAGCGGGAATGGGGAAGCTATGCTAGACAAAAAAAGCAGACTGGTTATGGCAAAGTCACCTTTCTTTAGGGGATGACAAGGGTCTCTTGGGCACATCACCTAACTAGTGCTGATTTGGGGATTCCTGATTGACTGGTTTAAGATTCCATTTCTGGGAGAGCCAAAACTGTAATTAAGTCAAATCTTGTTTTGGGTGACGTGGGGCTTAGCATAAGTGACTCCATTTGGGGACTTGTTGCCTTATGGGTTTTGTTGTTGTTGTTATTTATTTATTTATTTATTTATTTAGTCCAAGATTTCATTTACATTCAAGTTAGTTAACATATAGTATTAGTTTCAGGAGTCGAATTTAGTGATTCATCATTTACATATAACACCCATTGCTCATCCCAACAAGTGCCCTCCTTAATGCCCATCACCCATTTAGCCCATGCCCCCATCCCCTCCAGCAACCCTTAGCTTGTTTCCTCCTAAGAGTCTGTATGGTTTGCCTGCCTTTCTGTTTTTATCTTATTTTATTTTTCCTTCCCTTCCCCTATGTTCATGGGTTTTGTTTCTTAAATTCCACATAGGAGTGAAATCATATGGTATTTGTCTTTCTCTGACTGGCTTATTTTGCTTGTTTGCCTTATTTTTAACACTACTCAATAATTCTTTGTTTTCTTTAGCCAGAATCCAAGGGCTGGGTTTATATTGAGTTTCCCCACCGTGAAGCAGAAGAGCCGGACATCAGCCTTGACATCGCTGCAGCAGACTTGACATTCACGAGGTGTGTGTCTGAGATGGTCTGGGTATTCCAATAGCATTGAAGCATTTCATTTTCATGCATTGTCAATGTTTTCTATGTATGGACACATAAAATCACCAGCCATTCAACTATCCCTGAAGCTTTATCTCTCACTTGAGCAATTTTAACTGGCTAGAGCACTCACTTTTGTTTTGTTTTGTTTTCTGTGGAAAAAAAAATTTTTTTTTTTTTTGTCTTTTATTCAAGTTACTGTTTTCAGTGACAAAAGGAAGAACTTTCAGGCTTGTCCTGAGCTGTGGCTGCTGACTCAGTCCTCTACACTTGCCTGCAGGAAACCTAATCACACCTCAGCAAATGTGCCAATTACTCTAGTTTCTACTCTAGTTGCTCAAAAACAATGAAAATTGTTAATGTTAAACTGTGAACACCAATCAGTGACTCTGATACCTCTAGAGTCAAGTTTTCCTCACAATTGAGACCAGCTCCAAATAGCAAAGACTATCACTAGACCTCTGATTTAATGTATTCTCTTTTTCTCACCTCTCTCCTAATTTTTACTTCTTGATTATATTCAGGTATAATCTCTTGAAAGATCTGCTCCCCCTGTGCCAGTTTTGGTCTGTGGGGTGTGGGTCCCCAGGTGCACCATGGCACAGTAATCATTTTACACGGTGCCAAAATGGTTGAGTGGCTCTACTTTACATAATACCCCAGCGGCAGTCGACAGTTATAATCAGTAACCAGCTTTCACTCCTCCTGGTTCAATAATCCCATTTGCTCTGTTTTTCACTTAGTTTTTAGTCTCCTGTCCTTTAAGCTTCCATGTGGCTCCTTTTTGAACTTTTACCAAATTAACTAGGTCCCACTGCTTTGAAGTGATCAGCGCTATAGGTAGCAGTCTTGGAAGGACCCATGCAGCCCAGTCACATGATTACGGGACAGAACGAAGACCTCTCGAGTGTTTGGGGTATGGAGCAATGCCCAGGGTAGATGCCTCTGCCCAACCAGGCCAGTGAGGCTGGAAGCAAGGTGCTCACGTTTGTGGTATTCCAAGATGTTTTAAAGGAAGGGAGTTTAAAAATGTATCAGCATTACCATTTTCATTACATGGAGTATTTCATTTAATATTTACATTACACATATTATCTCATTTAATTTATTGTCCATGAGAAGGAGGTCATTACCGCCTCCATTTAACAGATGAAAAAGCTGTCTCAGAGAGAAGGTGTTACAAATCAGAATGAGAGTCCAGGTTTGTCTGACTCCAGAGTACAAGCTTTTATCCCAAATCATGCCGTTTTGTATACAACAGTGGGTAAGGAAAGACTTTTCCACCTCAGAAACAAACCACTGGGGCTAATTCTCAAATTACTCAAATTATCCAAATGGCATATGAATCCCCATAACTTTGCAAAAACCAGAAGTTTCTACTTTACCTCTCCTTTCCCAGTTTAGTATCACTTGGGAGTGTGGATAGAGGGAAATGGAAATACAAGAAAAGGAACAAAAGAAAATTGATATTGTACCAAAGATACAATGTAGAATTATTTTTGAAAATAATTTTGAGATGCATGAATGGAATTTCTAGGAGACTACATTCAAGTTAATAACTTGTCTATGCAGTTTCAAAACTTTGAAATCTTCTTGGGGTGCCTGGGTGGCTCAGTCAGTTGAGCATCTGCCTTTGGCTTGGGCCATGATCCCAGGGTCCTGGGATACAGCCCTGCATCGGGCTCCCTTCTCAGCGGGGAGCCTGCTTCTCCCTCTGCCTCTGCTTCTGCTTCTCCCCCTGACTTGTGCGCGCGCTCTCTCTTTCTCAAATAAATGTATTAAAAAAAAAACTTAGAAAGCTTCTTGATTATAGGAAGATTTGGCTGCAATTTCTGTATTAATGGAGTGTCTAAGCACACCATCTTCAGATGGACATTTGTGAATGGCTCCACGCTGTCACCATGTGCCCATCTCTATCAAATCTGTAGAAAAATGGTCTCTGACTTGAGTTTATATAACTTATCTTATGCTGATGTCATTTATTCTTTCCTTTATTATTACTATTTTTTCTCTCACTTTCCAATACATCAATATGATTTTGATACCAACTGATACCAATTTCCACGATATCTACTATCTACACAGATTACCTATAAATTAAAGTGCCCTCAGTACTGCCCAGGTCTGCCTCTTGTAAAAACACTTACATCTGTCTAGTTGGCTCAGAACCCCTCCTTACAGAAGGAAATTCAGCATTCTTTAAACTGAAGTATAGTTGGCACACAATGTTACATTAGTTTCAGGTGGACAAGATGGTGATTCAACAAGTACATGTTACAAGCCATGCTCACCAGGAGTGTAGTTACCATCTGTCACCACACAACACTCTTACAATACCACAGACTATATTCCCTATACTGTATCTTTCATCCCCATGACTTATTCATTCCTTAACTGGAAGATTTCAACATTTTTTAAAAGGTTTTATTCATTCAAGAGAGACAGGAGAGCACAAGCAGGGGGAGAGGCAGAGAGAGAGGGAGAAGCAGACTCCCCACCGAGCTGGGAGCCTGTCATGGGGCCCTATCCCAGGACCCTGAGATCATGACCTGAGCCGAAGGCAGACACCCAACCATCTGAGCCACCTAGGTGCCCCCAGATTTCAACGTTTTTTTAAAAAATAATTTTCCAGTAAATTATGAACATGTCTCATAGTCTATACACCACTGAATATATTCTCTTTTTTTTCAAAAAAGCCTGTATTATAAGGATGTAATTGTAACCACTAAATGTTATTTAATGTCCAGAAGAGTACAATTGGTGCTGCATTGATTTCCTTCACACTAAAAGCCAGGGTATTTGGGAGAATAATTTTTTTTTCCCCCAGAAATATCAGAATTTACTCTCTTGAAAAGAGAGATTTATTTTGAAGTAGGTAATTATTTTCAGTAATAATTTCCCATGTTTTTCTGATATTAAAAGTTTATATTTTTTGGGGGGGTGATGAAGTGATCAGTTTATATTTGTATTAATATTTAATTTTAACAACTAAATTTAAAGTATAAAAATTGCTTTCCTTATTCTTTTCATTAATGTTTATTTACTCTGATTATGCTTAAATTAAAATTAAAACCTTTTGGTGTTCCCATCAATTTAAAGAAAAACAACAGGAAAGATTTAAGTACAGTAGACAAATCTACTTAAAGTATAAAGTTAGAATAAGATTAGAAGGAAATCCAGGGGGTGCCTGGGTGGCTCAGTCAGTTAAGCGGCTGCCTTCAGCTCAGGTTAGGATCCCAGGGTTTTGGGATACAGTCCCATATCAGGTTCCTTGCTGACCCTTCTCCTTCTCCTGCTCCCCCTGCTTGTGCTCTCTCTTTCTCTCAAAAAAATAAGACCTTAAAAAAGAAAAAAAGAAAAAAAAAGAAGGAACTCCAGGAAAATCAAGGGAATTTCATTTGTTGAAATGGTGTAATTATATGTTTTGATTTAACAATACAGCATTTGTAATACATAAAAATTTTAACTCTAAATTTATTAACATACACAAAAGCAGAGCCTAATAATATGAGTAATAATATGTGTACCACCTCAGTTCAATAATTACTAATCTTTTCTCATGCTTACTTCATCCATCTTTTTCTTTTTTTCTTTATTTTAAAACAAATCCCTGAGAAATCCTAGTATTTCACCATTTTTTCATGTCATGTCACTCTGAAATATTTCTCTGAAAAATAAGAATATTTTCTTACATAATCACAACACCAGTATCACGCCATCAAAGGAAATATTAATTCCTTAATATAATTCTCAGTCAATAGTCAAAGTTCCCCCAATTATCTCATAAATATCTTTTTATACTTGGTTTGTTCAAATCAGGATCCAAATAAGTTCCACTCTGCATTTGATACTTACGTCTCTTAAATCCCTTCTCTTCTTCAGGTTTTCTTTCCAAGATCTTCACTTATAAAAACCAGGTCAGTCCTGTAGAGTATCCCACATTCTGGGCTTTTCAATGCTTTCTTGTGGTATCATTTCAATTGTTCTTCTCTCCCCTGTATTTCCTGTTATCTGAAAGTAAGATCTAAATGTGATTAGATTCTGCTTTGTTTTCTTTTTCTTTCCTTTTTTTTTTTTTTGCATAAATATTGTGCAGATAGTGCTTTGTACTTCATAGTGCCTCACATCAAGGAGCATGTGTTTGGTTGATACACTTTTAGTGATGCTAAGATGGACCTCGAGTTCAGATGAAAGCAATCAATCCACCTATTGTGTAGCTCTTGATCTAATTTTACCCTAATGGTTCCTAGAAGACTCAATTCTTTCATTAGAGATTGCCAAATAGTAGTTTTCTACTTTTATCATTCCTTTTGGCTGTAATTCTTCTTTAAAAAAGAGCTTTGCATAAACAAATACATCAATTTTGATACTTTGCCAATTAATTTGTACAGGAAAGGTAAGATAAAAGCTGAACTCTTTCCTAATTACCAGTTTCCAGACTAAGAAGTTAGTTCTCTGGCCACCTCCAATGGTGATAAAAGATGATTTCTTTTTTCTTTTCCTTTTTTTAAATTGTTGTTTGTTCATTTTTTAAATTTAACTTTTCTGTTTTTTTCTTTCTTAAAAATAGTGAATTCTTAAATTTTTATAAATTGAGTGTGTTTGAATCAAGTGTAGTCACTTTTCCTTTTAGGGGCTCAAATTGTCCCATCTTGCACAGTTGGAAGGATCTTTTCAATCTGGCTATGTCCTTTTGCTATAACCAAATTCATCATTGATAGTTTCTTTGGTTTCTGGTGAATGTGCATGTGCACACACAGTCTCAATCCATCTCATATATTTTCTATTTCAGGTTTGTAATCAGTCATTTTCCAATCATTTCCCAATTAGGGAATTGGCGGGGAATTTCTAGTAGACCACAGTTTGGACCAGGAATATTCATTGTTTCTAAGTTATTACTACTTCTAGGTTTTTCTAGTGTAT